TGGGCATTTTTTGTTGTGTGGCAGCACCGACATTGTAGTACAATTGGTTTACAAAGCAAAAAGTGAGGTTGAAGTTGACATTTTTTGCAACTTAAAATTCAATTTTCATAAAAACTACAAGCCTCCGGAGGGTGGGGTTTTCAGATTTACAATCACAGAAAGCCGCTCTAAACCCCCTCATTTTTGTTTTTTTTAAAAGCCGGGTTCCGTATTGGAAAATTTTCCCTTTTTTAGGGGTTGTTACCCTATACTAGAGAATTACCCGAATTTCGAAACTACGATGCAACACGGATTTCAGTGTACTAATTTTCTATTTATTTACTTATTTTTATTATCTACGACGGATTACAGCATAGGGGTGTATATATATCGAAACGCTCACCTCAATGATCTTCACCGATCCCAATATGAATTTTTGGTAATTCTCTAGTGTAGGGTAACAACCCCTAAAAAAGGTCCGGAAAAGTCGGGAGGGGTACCAAACGACGCTTTTCGGTCCCCCTATTAACAATCCGGAGGGGGAAGGCTAATATTATTAACCATTTAAAAGTTATGAATAAAAAATTTTTGTTAAATTTCGTTGTTTTCCATGGGCAATTACACCGACAAAGATTCACTAAATCACCTGTTCTCACTTTTTAAACACTATTAAGATATATAATTTAACTTATTTATTAAAGAAACACATAGTTTTATCAACCTTAGATAGATTATTTTGTTATTAAAAAGAAGTTGACAATCTTTGCGAACTGAAACGCGAGATTCCAAAATAGCTATAGTGCCTGCACTGTATTAGTATTTCGTAATAATTCACTTTTCCTTATGAGATGTGTGCACTGTTCAATGCTTTTCGGTATCTTCTTTCGTTTAATATATATATAAATAATGAAAATTTTTAATAAAAAATCGAGCGATTTTTTATTAAAAGTTTTCGACTGCAGCGCTTTTTCTATAAAAATCAATACTTTGATAAATAATGAAAATTTTTAATAAAAAATCCCACTTTTGGCACTCCATGACGCTTACTTTTAATTACAGCCAAAATATTAACCATAAAAGGGGAAAATTTTCCAATAATGGACCAGGCTTTGAAAAAAAAATGAGGGGGTTTAGAGCGGCTTTTTGTGATTCTAAATCTGAAAATCCCCCCCCTCCGGAGGCTTATAGTTTTTAAGTAATTCGTTGTTAAAGTTGTAAAAAAAAGTGCAATTTAACCTCACATTCTCCTTTGTACATCGAGTGAACTGAAATTGCGGTGCTGCCACACATCACAAAAAATGTGCAAAAAAAAGTACTGAAAAGGGAATAAACGAAAACGTAAATAATAAAGTGGACATGTACATATATGATATAGCTTTTTTATTGGATATTTTCACTATATATGGAAGAATTGATAAAAAAAAGGGCCGCAGGTGAAAATTTTCAAGATATATGGAAGTATTGGATTTTTTAGAAAAAAGCGCCGCAGGCGAAAATTTGTAATAAAAAATCGCGCGATTTTTTATTACAAATTTTCAAGATATATGGAAGTATTGGACTTTTTAGAAAAAAGCGCCACAGGCGAAAATTTGTAATAAAAAATCGCAGGATTTTTTATTAAAAATTTTCAAGATATATGGAAGTATTGGATTTTTGAACTCTTAAATATATGTGCATAAATAAGACCGTAAAATTAATATTTTCCTTTTAGCCTTCAATCCCGTAATGCATCACAAAGTATTTTTGGCTAAAAAGAACTATTAACATTTTCAACGATATGGCACCTCATTCATGGCAGCCATCGTTGAACAATTGTGTTTACTATTCTTTGAATAGAAAAATATTTTAAGAACACTTTTATAAGCATTAATGGCTAAATATTTAGTGAAAAAAGATGTGCATCCATTTGTTTATGAAGAAAAGATGGTGTATTAATAAAAAGAAAAGTGATTAGTGCAGTGTTTATAAAAAAATAATTGTGAAGCAGTGGGGAAATTTTAACGAATAACTTAAAAACTATTAGCATTTGTACACAAAATGTTGATGATATCGGTCAATGAGCACCTCCTCAACACCCCCCCGCGAATTTCATTAAAAAATTCGTAATACTTTGGGTGATATAGGAAATGGTCCATTATAGGAAATCTCAGCCCCGCCCCCCGACTTTTCCGGACCTTTTTTAGGGGTTGTTACCCTACACTAGAGAATTAAGGAATTTTTTTAATTTGAGAATTGTAGGTATTCTACATTTATGCCATCTGTGAACCCTAAGATATCTCACTTGTATTCTTTCGCAATGACATACATGAGACATTTTAACTTTATTGAAAAAATCGATAATATGAACAGGGTCGATGCGTCATCACCTATGTTTTAGTTATTATAAACATATATCCCATATAGAACTTCCATCATTGTTCCTTCGAAGTTTAAGAACATGAAATATAGGAAGATGAAGCGTTGCCTAATGAATGCGTTGGCTATTTTGTCATATTTTCTTCCGCGAAATTAAGGTGAAGTATAGATTGGGCCGTGGTTGTTGCTGTAGCGGCCGTCGACATGACTGTTGCTAGTTTATATGCATCATATTATGTATGTATAGAACTAGCCGTTTTAATAACAACATAAACATATCCGCATGTATATTTAAACTATTACTCGATATTTTACCTTTGAACGTAAGGAAGCTTTGCATACACACTTTATGTATTAATGTATATCATAACAAAATTACTGCTTTATTATTAAAACACAAATTGTCCGTGGTTTTACTTACTTTTAATTTTTTTTAGGATCGTGAAACACTTGAAAGTTCATAAACAAATCTTAACAATGTACGCTGAGACACACAATGAAGGAAAAATTGAATTTTAGTTGACATTCTAATATATACTAGAGATTCAAACGATGCATCGATGTTTTCAAAACATCGATGTTTCGTCCAAAAATATCGAGGTTAACCACAGTATACTGTGATGTTAACATCGATACTTTGCTGGATGATACACAGTGTTGCCGCGAAATCTTTTTAGTGGTAGCTAAATTCCAGCTTAAAAAGAGCTAAAATAGAGCTAAAAATCGTCTTTGTGGCTAAAAATGGTAGCTAAATTTTTTTCCTACATCTTATATATAAAAATAAGTGCACGTTTTTGGTGTGACAATATAACTTAAGAACGGCTTCACCGAAGTCAACCAAATTTATGTTAATTTATTCGATTTATCATGCAGATGGTTTATGCGAAGTTTTCCCGAATTCGGAAGAGGGGGCGTGGCACCACCCATACTAACTAAAATATAAAAATAAGTGAACGTTTTTGGGTGACAATATAACTTAAGAACGCCTTCACCGAATTCAACCAAATTTATGCGGCATATTCGGGCCATTATGCAGATATTTTATGTGGAGTTTGCCCAAATTTGGAAAAGGGGCGTGGCATATGTGTGTATCTTATGTATAAAAATAAGTACACTTTTTGGTGTGACAATATAACTTAAGAACGGCTTCACCGAATTCAACCAAATTTATACGGCATATTCAGGCTATCATGCAGATGGTTTATGTGTAGTTTGCCCGAATTCGTAAAAGGGGGTGTGGCACCTTCCATACTAACTAAAATTTTTTGTTGTATATCTCTTGAAATATTTGTGCTAGAGTACTGGAAGTTGGTATAGAGGTATAACAAATAATTCCATACTCATGGATAAAAATGGGCGGTATTGGAAAAGAGGGCGTGGCACCTCACATCTTATATATAAAGAATAAGTGCAAGATTTCAACCAAATTTATACGGCATAG